GCACTCATTTCTACTCAATAATCACTTCTTTAACCTCTATATCCTCTCCTCCTTATGAAATTCAATAATCATACCCAAATTTTAACATATTACAAATCCAATTCTAACACTTCATACATGTTAATTAGATTGATGACAAGTCAAATTCACTCTTAAACCTCATTAAAGAACCCTCTTTCAAGATTTCACTTATTCCTCTATTTTCTTTAATTCCCTATATTCTCTTCATCTTATTGTTTCGAAACAATTTAAGCTCTCCTTAAGTTTAATTATCACTTAATAATCAAAACTCAACCTTAAATTTAACCAGAAACTAAAAAATCAGAAAACTCACCTTTATCTATTGGTTTTCACGCGTGAAGGAAAAATAAAGATGAAGAGAACTCTAGAAACCACTTTGTTTCCTCTTTTCTTCCACGTGTTTAATATATAACCATCTTTAGTTATTTTCCCTGTAAATGACCCTTTTGCCCTTCAATTCATCTAATAATTACTAACATCTTTCAAGTAATATTTTCAAATAATCATTGAACTATTCCATTCTTCTACTTTAGTCACCAAATTCTGAAACTTTACGATTTAGTCACTAACCCATAGTTTAGGATGTTACACGGTGTTTAGGATATTACATAGGCCATCAGCGAGGGCTTTGAGAATTTAACCCACATTCAATTACTTTCAACCACTATGTTTTGAAAGTTCCCAACACAAACCCTTCATTTCACTTTCATTCCATATTAATCATTATATTCACCACTCTCCCACTAATTTCAACTTAGTACCTCAAATGTACACCTTTGTCATTTTATCTCTAATTTGTTTTCAAGACTTTCAAATCGATCCTCAATCTTACCTCGCTTTCCAAATTAACCCAAATCAACATTCTAACGCTAATTTCCATCATAGTACTCCAAATTTAAAAAGTTTACATCTTAGTCCTCCCAATTCTCAAAGCTTGCAAAAAGGATCTCCTAACTTAACAATGTTTTATAACGTTCCAAAACTCAACTCAAAGCATGTAGAATCATTCTTTAATCCAATCTAACCCTTAGGATATTTATATAATATTTTTCCAATAACTCTTCATCACAACCCAAAATTACAAAGTCATCCCCTAATGATTTTTCAATTTGATCCAAGCTTAAAATCATCACCTACACATCAGATTTCTTCAATTCAAATCATTTCCATAACAAAACCAATCAAATTCAACATTTATTCAAGAAACCCATAATGGTCGAATTCATTTATAGGTCCCTCTAATGCTTCTTAATTAATTTTCATGCTTAAATATGATTCCATAACACTCCTAAGATCAAAATTTAACCTTACCTCAATCAATTTCAACTTCCCCTCATCCACCATAAATACCCATTCAACACTTTAAGCATGAATCAATGAGATAATTATACCAAATGAACGAGAATTTATTGTTGATCATTTTCTTATTTCACAACTTAGTCCAAAATCTCACTAAAATAGATCAAAATGAAAATAAAATTTCACTCACTTTAGCTATGGAGTTTTGGCAAGATGAAGAAGAAGAGAGGAATATTCTTGAAATTTCTCATAAAATATGACTTAATTTTCACCTTAAAAGCTAATTTAAAATAAATAAAAATTTATTTTGCCCAAAAGTCAAAACTACCCTTAATGAATCTTAATATTTACCTCCATGCCATCCTTTTATATCCATTTTAATAACCTTAAATAAATATAAAAATCATATTTATCAATTTCCATCTTTACTCTTCCAATTTTCCAAAAGTTCAATTTAGTCACAAAATTTTACTATTCCACTTTAACATGAAATTTCCACCAAATTTCACTGATCCACATCAAATTCTACTGATTAAAAATATCAGTATAATATTTATAACCTCAAACTATCTTTGTTCAAATTTTTGTAAACTTCCGATTTGATCCAGTTATCTAATATTGTACCAAACTTTATCGCTTAATAGACTTTTATACAAACTTCATATCAAAAATCTGAAACCCACAAAATAATATTCTTGGGATAAACTAATCCTTTACGGGCCAATATATATAACTTTTAAAAATTACTTTTTAATCCCTAAATTTTTACGACTTTTTGTTTTATATCCAAACTTTCAAAATTTACATTTCAATCACTAGTCCAAAATTTGAGGTACTACAAACACAGTCTCACTCTTTTTAATGCCAACTATTTGGATCGTGGTTGAAATTTCGGCTAAATAAAATCTCATCCATAAATCTTTTTACTCCGGTGGATCGACCACTAGCATAAAGGGAAAGAACAGACCCCAATTATTTTTTTAGTTTTATGTTTCATCGAAAAACAATAATAATATGGTTAATTAAGGATGAGAATAGTGAATGTATAAATGTTGAAAAATGCCCTAGGAGCTTTATGTAGGACAGTCTATTAGGGGACCTAAAAGGACGACGACTGGTGCCGCATCTCCAAGCGCCTCAAAAGGAGAGTGTGGAATGGTAGAGCACTGAAATTTGTATATTCCAATCCCATGCAGAAATAAAGCAAACGTGTGGGGTAGGCAACTGGACCGAACCGGGAAAAAGGTTCAGTCGGTCGGGCACTCCCACAAAAAAAGCTAATTAAAAACAAATTTGAAAATTCCATATATTTTCAAAGATACCAAATTTATCCATGCAGAGATATCCACTCATCACATTTTACGGCGCAATCACTACCCTCAATGATCAGAATAGTAAGAAAAGTAAAAAGAAAAAAAAGTAGAGAAGCTTATAGGTTAGGAATAAAGGTATTCATTTACCCATAATTATTCAATATTTTTATAATATTTTTTATAATAAAATAATTACAATAACGGTTTACAACTATCATCGATTAAAATGAGATTATTTAAAATAACAATAAGGGTTTACAACTATCATCGTAAACTTAATACACAATTTAGACATTTTCTTATAATATTAAAACTAGTTACTTTAGATCATATAAGGACCATACATAGAAAAAAAATTAAAAACTCAACCAAAAGACTCGAATAAAAATTAGATACAAATAAATTTGAGTGCATCAACACAAACCACAAAAGGGATTAAATTATTGAAAGATCACCGAGAACCACAAATTAAAACTAAGCGTCGTGAGAAACTATCCACGAACGCAAAATCGCATATCCAAATTCAATCCGAGGATTCAAAGCATTAAAGATAAACAAGATTACAATAAGCGACATCTTGATCAGTCGTGACGTTGTCAAATTCAACCCTGAGAAAACATAAAATAAAAGAAAGGATCAAACAACTGAGAAAGAAAACGAAAAACGTGTCACAAAGACAGAGATAAACGTGTCACAAAAATAAAATTATTCTTAAAAAAACTAAAAATTAAACATAAAAAAAGAAAACTGGGGTCGGTAACCAGCATCAAAACCGGTGTCATCGTCAACTAAACAAAAAGAAAAAGTTAATTTGATCAATAGAAAACACACAAACTGTCAAGAAAAAATGGAGAATTTTTATAATATTTTTTATAATATTTAATTTAAATTAATTAAATTAGAGGTAAAGTACATAAATGATACCCCAACTATAAGATACTGCTTTATTCAGTATCTTAACTATTAAAAGTTACAAAGTGGTCATCTGACTTTGGAGTGTTACTTTGTTGAGTCAATTGACTATTAAAAGTTACAAAATGGTCACCTAACTATTCATTATGTTCCAAACTCATCATTTTCCGTTAAAAATCAAGGGTATTATGAGTTAAACGTTAATATGCTAACTATGATATGATAAAATCTAATCACAGAATATCAAACGACTATCATATCTCAGTTATCATGTTAACATCCAGCTTAGACAATAGTTAAATTTTTAATGAAAAAGGACAAGTTTGGAACATAAACAATTGTTGGGTGAGCAATTTGTAACTTTTAATAGTTAAGGGACTTAACAAAGTAACATTCTATAGTCAGGGGACCACTTGTGTAATTTACCCTTAGATTAGATATTAATTTTAAAACCAATAGATAACAGTATCCATTTTAAGGTTCAGTTTAGGCAAATTACACTCGAACCTAGGTCTGATTTTATTTTTCTCAAATAATTAATTTTTATTAAAAGTAATTGAATATATATTTTTATATTATTTTTATAATTAAATTTAAATAAAATATATATTTAAAATTATTAAATTTCATACAAATCAAACTAACTCGCAGATTAATTTTTTTTATCTGATTTCACTCAAATCAGATCAAACTAAACGAGTCATTCCATCCATAGAGAATGAAACAAGAAAAATCATTATAATAATGAAATGCTAATATTTTACACGTAAATAAAATTATATATATTGTCAGTGAATCAATTTTTTTATATTATTAAAAATAAAGTTGAATAAACTGAGTTAAATTTGACACTAACAATGTATAAAATTTATACATTATTAATAAATCATCATTTATTCTTTTTTAATAAATAAATGATGATGACATGTTATTACTAAAATTTAAAACTAAATTTATGTAATTTATTTTTAAAATAAAATATACAAGTGATCCTCCGACTATAAGGTCATCATTTTATAACTTCTAATATTTATTTTTATTATTAATTTAGAATAAATATAAGACACAGACCTCTAATAGTTGAAATTTTCAATAAAATATCTTATAATCGATGACAATTTATATACTTTATCCTTTATTTTTGAGTGATATGTCAAAATCTTATTTACTAACTGTATCTAAAATTAAACACCATCAGTTCAATCAAACAAACCCTAAATAAATCATCTTTATTTATGAATTGGATTAATATTTTATGCTCTTACCACCATGTTTAAACGTTATTAGGGTTTAAACTCTTGGTTTTTGGAAGTAAGAGTTCTCTAGTCTGTGAATTTTTTATTTTTCATTAATACATAATCTGGTACACAACAATCATCAAAATAAACTGAAACTCTTTTATATATATATATATATGGGTACATAACAATGTGTGTGTATATATTGGTCCCTCCTTTCAATTCTTCGGCTTCTCTCTCCATTCAGCATCTCTCCTTTCTTTCTCTTTTCCCTTTCGCTCTTTATTTGATGTGATTCTCCACTAACATCTTAACACAGACGCAACCAAAAACCCTTTTACAAGAAGAAAATCAAAGATCGGGAGAGTCATGGTTTTTACCTCCATCCCAGCTTATCTTGATCCTGCCCACTGGCAACAACAGGTATGTTCTTTCTTTGAATTTGTTTACATGGTTTCTTTCCCACAAAAGCAAAGGAATTCGAAAACATAAATAATATTCTTATTACCTTTTTTTTTTGGTTTGAATATACCTGGTATTTGATTTCTTTCTTCTTCTTTTCTTCATGTTTTCCTTGTATTTTTAACAGCTTACAAATAATCATCAAGCCGTTCCCGGTAGCAGTCCGAGATCTCATCAGCTTCCTCCTCCTCCTGGACCTCCACAACCACCAGCAGCAGCTCCACAACCGATTGGAGGAGATGGAGCGGGCTCGATCCGGCCTGGTTCGATGACCGATCGAGCTCGTTTGGCGAATATACCGATGCCGGAAGCCGCATTAAAATGCCCGAGATGTGAGTCGACAAACACGAAATTCTGCTACTTCAACAACTACAATCTCACACAGCCTCGTTACTTTTGCAAAGCTTGTAAAAGGTACTGGACTAGAGGTGGTGCCTTAAGAAATGTTCCGGTAGGCGGTGGATGCCGTAGGAACAAAAGAAACAAAGGAAGTAGCTCAAAATCGGCCGTCACTGATGACCGGAAAACGGCTTCTAGTTCATCAAGTACAATTTCTTCAAAAAGCATAGCAAGCACTGATATTTTAGGACTTGGACCTCAAGTTCCTCAACCGAGGTTCATGCCTCCTTTGCAGCACCTTACCGGCTTTGGGTTGAATTACGATACAATTTCAGCTCCACTTGGAGTGCCCAGCGACTTAAGTTTACAAATCGGAAGTCCTTGGAATGCGGATGCCACCAGTTTCGATCAGTGGAGGCTACAGCAAGCGCCGCAATTTCCCTTCCTTGGAGGCTTGGAATTTTCCGGTCTATATCAATTTGAAACCGCAGGTGATGAGCCGCCATCGGGATACGGTGTCGGAGCAGGACATCAGGCTCGGCCTAATATATCAAGCTCAGCACCACCAACACAGATGGCTCCGTTGAAAATGGACGGCCATAATAACCAGCAAGAGTTGAACTTTTCAAGGCAATTTCTGGGTGTTCCGGGAAATGATCATCAGTACTGGGGTGGAACTGCATGGACAGATGTTTCCAGTTTCAGGTCGTCATCCACCAGCAATCCCTAATAGGTTATGAATTAGATCCGGCCATCTAACACTCTCTCATTTTTAAGCTTGGGTCTTTTTGTTAGTGTAGTTTCTGTAAAACAAAAATTAACCATGATCAAGGGCTTATGATTCCTCGGATACAAAATCGACTGAAACCCTAGCATTGGTAGGCTTTCTTTCTCTTTCTAAATTGGCGTATTTTAATTATCAATATGTTTTCTCTTCAAATACCGAGTGTATCACACATATAGAGCTTGTATTGATTACATGAACTCTGGAGAAAAAAAATCGTTCGTTTATCAATCATTCTATTCCTAATATTAATATTATGTTCAATATTTTTTTAAAATCTAATTTAAAGATATGGCAGCTAGGGATGGCAACGGGCTGGGTTCGGGTCGGGTATTGATCCCCCATCTCTGTTCCCGTTTAAAAAATCCATACCCGTCCCCACTTAAAAAATCACGAGGATTTAAACGGGGATCCTCATCGGGTAATCGGGAAAAACCGCGAGGAAACGGATATCCCCGTTTAGCATAAACGGTTATTTAAATGGGTATCGGGCCGGGTATCGGGCCGGATATATATATATTTAAATTAAATATATAAATATTATATATATATTTTAATTTAAATTAAATTTATTAATATTATATATATATAATAATAATTATTTTTAATATTTATCGGGCCGGATAATCGGGGCGGGGATTACCAAACTCATCCCCGTCCCCGTTTAGCATAAACGGTTTTTTCCCGTCCCCGTCTCCGTTTAGCATAAACGGTTTTTCTCCGTCCCCGTTTAATTTAGTTTTCGATTTTTCCCGTCGGGTTCGGATTTTTTTGCCATCCCTAATGGCAGCTGGATCGAGTATTTGATTGTTGCATTATGAAAAGTTGTTTAAATCTACTTTGGTAATGATAAATAATTGTGAGACATAATTAAGTTCACTAAAACACTATCTGTGTGGGATATATCAGCGGATAGTCGATACATGATTTAAATATAAATTAATGAGATTTCTTTTCGGGGTTTAGGAAGGATTTTAACAAGGCATCTATCTTAGTTTCGTATTTCGAATACAAATTATATTGCCTAGAATTTTTTTTGATTAAATTAAATAAAATAAAGAAACTCATGAAGTTATTCATTGATCCGAACACATGAAGATAGTATATTAAAATATTAAAAATAGAAAAGAAAAGGGTAAAGTACACAAATGGTCTCCCGACTATAGGGTATTGTTTTATTAAGTCTTTCGACTATTAAAAGTCACAAAAGGATCATCCGACTATAGAGTGTTGCCTTTTTTAATCCCTCGACTATCAAAAGTTACAAAATGATCACCCGACTATTCATTATGTTTCAAACTCATCATTTCCCGTTAAAAAATTAGCGGTTATCTAAGCTATACCTTAACATGATAACTGAGATGTGATAGTCGTTTGGAATTCTGGAATTATATTTTTTCACATCACAGTTAACAAATTCAAGTTCAACTCAGAATACTGTCATTTTTTAACGGAAAAAGGACGAATTTAGAATATAATGAATAGTCGGGTGACTATTTTGTAACTTTTGATAGTCGAATGACTCAACAAAACAACACTCTATAGTCTTAGGATTATTTTTTTAACTTTTAATAATCGAGAGACTTAATAAAATAGTACCCTATAATCAGGGATCATTTTTATATTTTAGCCAAAAGAAAAAGAAGGTGGTAAAAGAACTGCAATCAAAGACAACAAGGTTAAGAGATTCGGAAGAAACGAGGCGGGTGAAAGGGTTTCTGTTCTGACAAGAGAAGTGGAAGGGAATGTGAGACCCGTTTCCCCAAGTTTGACGCGAGTGAGCGCGTGTTGTTGTCCAACACGCACAACGAGACAAGGTATACTGCTCTGCGTGTCAGAATTTGGACCTGACTTCCCAGATTCATTTGTCTTCCCTCATTGTACAAAATCCACGCGCTTCGTCGGCTACTACAACACATTGTCATGCTTTATCTCTGATGCCCCATTGGCTACTGTTAATGAGACAAATTCTGTCTGGCTCCATTGCTTTGGTCCAACAAACTTAAGAGGAAAAACCATACACCAATTTAATTAGTTCTTAATTCATAAAAGTTATCCCCATTATCCAATAATTTTGGCTTCATGTTTCTACAGAGCTGGACCAAGTATTCAGCAATAACGGCTGATTAATTAAATGAATATTTGAGTATAAACCTAAAAGGGATATCAGTTAAATACTCATGCAATCTGATTAATAATAATAATAATAATAATAATAATAATGCTTAAAGGTCACTTTTGTCCTTGTAGTATACATAATTTATCATTTTCGTTCATATCGTATTTTCACACCAATTTAGTCATCAATTATTTAATTACATCATTCTATACTCTTTTCCTAACTTAAAACCCTAAATTATAAATCATAAGTATTTATGTTTAAAGTTTATGGTTTAGATGTAATGGGGTTATGGTTTATGATTTAAAATTTAAGGTTTTAAGTTAGGGATATAGTATAGGATGATGCAATTGAACAACTTTAAAGTCTAAATTGATGTGAAGATAAGATATGGTGAAAGTGATAATTTGGGTTTATTATAGTGGTAAAAGTTACCCTTTTGCCTAATAATAATAATTAACCTACACGAATCAAACAACCTCATTGACTAAGAGACTTATTGTCATCTCTTGAGGTCTTGGGTTTAAGCACCACAAATGTTAGAGGTGTGAGCATTCGTTGTTAAATGGTTAGGAAAATCTTTAAAGATATACTACCTTATATTCACCACGTATTAATAAAAAAATTAATGATTAACCTTTTGTAGTTTAGACAAAAAATTATTAGTCTATAGGGGGAAGAGTCATCTTCTCGGTCCTTGAAGAGCCATATAGACGATCATTCATAGGATAAGACATAATATTTTGAAAGTTAGACTTAAGTTATTATGGACCGATCTTGCTATGCTTATTCGCTGACTCAATATGTGAATTCATCATGTTCTGTTATACTTTACGTGATGTTAAAATTTATATGTGAAAACTTTATTTATGATTTGATACATCATAGGATAACACGTGGAGTGTTTCGTTTGGCTTCTTCGTGTTGATATTCATCTTGGATGTAATACCCTAAATTTTGGTTAGTGACCAAAATGTAAAATTTTAAAGTTTAGTTGTCAAAGTATAAAGTTTGGAAAAATTTAGATACCAAAAGGATAATTTCCCAAAGTTTATGGACTAAAAGTATAATTTTCAAAAGTTAGGTGTTTTGACCTTATAAATGAATAGTTTAACCCCAATGATGACGTTTTTGCGGGAATCAAATTTTTGATCCAAAATTTATGTTAAAAGCTATAAAGTGTTAAAGTCAAGTAAAAATTTAGTAAATAGGATTGAATAGAAATTTTGATAAATTTTGAAGGATATTAAATTAAGCTTAGAAATATCATTTTCACATTTTAAAATGATGGAAATTAATATGGACCATTGGATTTGAAAATTTATTTCCATGTTCAATTTGGACTGTTGGATGAAAATGACAAGATTGAAATTCTTGGGAAGTTGCATGAATAAAGTTGTCAAGGGTATAATATTTTGTTCATATTTGATTTTGGAAGATGATAACCAACATGTGGCTTAGTATGGATGTAATTATCATGTTTCATTAATGGTAAAATTATCATTTCCTGATTAAATTAATTTTAAATTCATTTAAGCTTAATAAATGACAAATTAACATGAAATTAACTAGAAACTTCATGAAAATAAGGCCTTCTTCAACCTCCATTTCGTGCTCCTCGTATCATAGGTATGATAAATTTTATTTTTCATTTTTGAACAATTTTCTTTGGATTTTGGATTGAACCGTGAAATAGAAAATTGTTCTATTCAAAGAGCTCTATAATTTGTACCGTTATTTCATGCTAATCTTGCTTGAATGTTAGGTTCCCAAATTTTAGAATTTATGTTTATGTTAGGGTTTTATGAATTGATGATTGATTTTGAGGTTGTGAAATCATTTCCAAGCTTGTTTGATGATCAAAACCACCTAGAAATGCTATATTGATTTTTGGCCTAAACCCTAAATTAGGAAAAGTTTGTGATTTTATGAAATTGAGTTAGAGGTTTGATTGTATAGATTTTAAAATGTTTAATAGAGGTTGATTTCATGCTTGAATCAATTTGAAATCAAGTGAAATCATGACCTTACGCTCTTAACATTCGGCCTAAGCATTTGGAAGTGAAAAAAATAATGAAAAAATTATACAAGGGTGGAAATGGTGTAAGAAGGATCCTACAAGATTTAGAAAGATATTTGGAAGAATTTGTAATTTTGAAAAAGTTAGGGGACCTATTTGGAGATTTTGAAAAGTTATGGGGTTGACGTGTAATTATTCAATACATGAAATATTATTCTAGAAATTAATGTTAGAGTGAGAAATTTGGTGTTAGAATGTGAAATTTGACTATTTTAGGAAGTTGTCAAAGTTTGAGTAATAAATGGCAAATATTAAAAAAGTTAGTGACTTAAGTGGTAATAATAGACTTTTTGAGGTATTGAGTTGAAAATTAGATGCCGAAAATTTAATTAAGTTGTTTGAGATTTGAATTGAAATAAAAAGGGAAAAGGATTATTTAGAATAAAATGGAAAAGTTGAGATGAATTCTAAAAGAATTCATAGCAATAGTTAAAATGGAAAGTTGAAAATGGTTATGTGAAGTTTGGGTGAATTTGGATAAAGAGGGACTTGAATGATCAACTTGAAGGTGTTAAAGTCAACATTTATGTTGTGATACGGAATTAGTATCGAATAAGCATCGAAAGATCTTTAGGAATTTATTTTCTTTTGTGTGCCTATGTTAGTGAGATTCTAAAATGTGGTTTGAAATGAACATGTTTTGTAAATGATGTTCATTTAGATTGTGTGTTTGAAATCAAGATCAAGCAATGTTAAAGCTAAGGAAAACTCAAGGATGAAATATGAATTTCTAAGGAAAGTTGCAAGCTAAGGACTCCATGTGAGTGCATATGGTAAGAAGTGACTCTTAAATGTTATGAAATTGTGTGATTCGTGCATATATGTTCATTTGACATGCTAATAGAATTAGTGAATAAGCTGAAAAATATAAGTTAGTGAAATCTGCTGAGATTTATGTTTTGAACAGTAATTTTAGAAAATCACCATATATTATATAGAAATGATTAAGGAATATTTTTATGTTGTTGGATTTTTATATCAGTCTAGTTTTGTTGAGAAGAAACGACTACTGATTTCAAGAAATATACAAAAAAGATAAATTTTTAATCGAGGATAGGTCAGAAAATAGGGCAACATATTATGCTCAAAACAACTTATGTAAGTCAACTTTGAAAATTCACTATAAATTGTACAAGATGAAATAGAAGAAATGCCTTATATGGTTGGATTCTTGTTCGAGTCTAGTTTCTAGTGGTATAAACAGAATAATTTTAAGTGTATAGATTAATACATAATAATATTTCTTGAATGTAGTGAAAACTACCAGAATATGAAATAAAATTTATAATGTGGTAAACTATGTATGTTATGATACTTTTATGATATATGTTATCTTAGAGTGTTTGAAATGAGTCAATGTTATTACATTGGCATGATAAATTATGATATTTATAATACAAGGAAATACAATATTTATATGTTTAAAAGAGAAAGTGATAATAAGTAAGTGTAGTTATTTATTTAATTATTCTGATCGCGGACGACTTGTGATAAGTCAACCTTATATTATTTTAAAGTATGTTTTTATTTTCATCATGGATTATTTCCATGATATTTCTATAAAGTTTTATGAATGATTTAGGGAATGACCTGCCTATCATGTTATGATATGAAAAGTTGGATATGTTGAGATATTGCTATCTTTTATAATTTTATAACATATAATAATTAATGGAAAAGCCCATTGTATGTTGCATTGAGAGTCGTAGCTAGAATTGACATGCCATGAGGTGGAGTGATTATGATATGGTAAATTTGTATACATTATGTATAGCACTGTTGGTGCAAGTGATATGATTGCACTTAGAGTGCATAGTTTGATTTGATGATAGCACTGAAGTGCTTATTGCGCACATTCTTCTGACTCACATACCTTGCATTCTCATAAATATTCATTGGGCTATGAACTTGAAAATAAGTTATGAGTCCATAAACAAGTTATGAATCTGAGAATGAGTTTTGAAATGTGAAAGTATGGATTATGAAAGTGAAATGTGAAAGATGAAAATGAGACATGAAAGTTTTGTATTGTATATGAATGAAAAAGAATATGATATGACTGTTATTTATGATATTGTTTATCATGACTTTGATATGACTATTATGTATAACATTGTTTGTCATGGTTTGATAAAATCACGAGATTATAATTTTCAGGTCCTTGACGAGGAAAAATGACTTGAATAAATCGGTTTGGATATTTAGTGATTTTATTGGAATTTAAGTTAATGTTTTAAATTATTACGATATTATTAAGTTTTATATAAGTGAATATGTAGTTTAGATGTTGTTAAGATGTTTGATATTTATATCACTTTAGTTTGTTTATAATACTTCACTAAGTGTATACTTAGCGTGTGATGATTTTCACGCTTAGGTAAAGAAGAGCAAGTAAAGTAAGAAGCTGAGTGAGCATCAATTAATAAAGAAAAATTACAGGTATCAATAATGACATCATACTATTTTAAATTTATTAGATGACATGTGTACGATTAAGAAATGTCTACGATATGTCACTATAGATATAAATATGAATTAAGTTATGTGTTCTAGATAAAACTTATATTTTATTAGAGTATAACAATATTTTAAATTAGACGGTTTATTTTATGATATGAAAAAAATTAGAACTGTCTATTTGATGCTTGAATATGGTATGGATTTAGACGTTTAAATATTATATGATGATTTTACATGATTATATTATTTTATTAAAGTGATTAAATTTGGATAAATTTTAAAAGTTCAAATTTATACCGAGTTTTCAACCATAGAATCTATGCAAAGCTATATGATATCTTTGACTTGTATTTGGATACGTATATTGTTTAAGGGTGTTACATTGACCATGTCATTGTGCAACTACAATAGGTTTGCACGACAGTCATAAGAGCGTTTGAGTCTCCCAATCCTCAAGCCATATACCCAGAGCTATCTTAGGTATTTTTTATTAAGATGTTGTGTTGGTTCATTTAGTTGATTTATAACTGTTTTTTGTTGGGCCAGGTAACCCTTACCTGGGTCAAACTTTAAGTGTTGATCCATCAGGCTTAACGTTGGGTTATAAAAATGATGCTTAATGCTTAGGGCTAGAATATCTTTTAGCCTACATTTCTTTTCCCTTTTGCATTCCTTCACATGCCTTCCAGTTGTGATGTTTTTGGTTTGTTGACAAGTGTGCTGATTTCTCGGGTGTTTCAGTTGCTAGTTTGTTGTACCTTTCTGTATGAGTTGTACCACTCTTTAATTCAATATGTCGGGTTCATTGAATTTCAACACGGTATCAGTAGATCATCGATCCGCGTGCCTGTAAGGGTTTTATTCTTGAATTTGTTTCAATTTTTTCGCTTGTTTCTCTTCAATTTTCCCTCTTTTCTATTGCTATGACTAATTCTTAGACCGCTGATAATCTTTTTTCTGGAGAGAACAGTTGCGCTTCGTTTCTCAATCAGTCGATGAAAGTCTCCTTTGCAACAAGTACGTTAATATGAGGTTAGATGATCACAATTTTCTGTTGTAGAAACAACATGTTCTTCTGATGATTCAAGGTCACGAGCTTGAAGATTTTCTTGATGAGGCATTTCCGGTTCCACCACAGACGGTTCTTGATGATAGTGGTGAGATTGTTGTTAATCCGGTGTATCGAGCTCAAAAGAAACATGATAGTTCGTTGGCATCTTGGTTACTTTCGACAATTAGCCTATCAATCTTACCTCAGTTAGTGGGAGCAACGACGTCGACAAAGATCTGGAGTGTGCTTCAGCTTTTCTCCAAACTGACAACCACAAAGATTGTGAGTTTGCATTGTCGTCTTCAGTCTCTTAAAAAAGGAGATTCCACTGTTCTTGAGTTTTCTGTTCAGATCAAAGAGATTTGTGATCTCTTTTCCACTAGTGGTAGTCTGGTTCCTGAGGCCCAAAAGTTTGCTACGCTGTTAAACGGGGTTCCTGTTGAGTTTGAACCTTTTATGGCAGCTATAACAGTTAGTCGTGAACCGTACACCTTTGAGATAGTTACCTCTATACTTACTGATGCTGAATCTCACATCCGTCATCCCATGAGAGCCTCGGTCAGTATTAATTTGGGGAGACATGAATGGTCTAGTGGTGGCAACGATGATGCTCGTGGTAAGAATCCTGCTAACTCCCGTTACAAAGGGAGGCCGAGGCATCTATGTCAATTATGTGGCAAGACGAAGAGAATTGGTAAGAGGTCAGGGAGTTTGTAAGTTCTTCAGTCTTTTAGTCTGTCTTCCACAAATCTTGTTTTACTTTTTGCTAATTTTTCATGTATGTCTGTTGTTTTTACTTCATAATAAAAGTGATATTTGTCATGCTAGATCTGGTCATGCTCCTTTGTCAAATATCTCTAAAATCCCTTGTTTGTCTTATACAAATTTGAATGATGAAAAATCTCCTTGTTTTGTTTTCCTTTTAGCTAGGCAGACTAGGATTCCTTTTCCCTAAGTCAATCTAGGGCATCTTTACCTTTTGAACTTATCCATATTGATATATGGGGACCATATAACAATAATGACCATAGATTTTTTTCTCACTTTGTGGATGATCATAGTAGGATGACATGAGTGTATTTGCTAAGATTAAAGTCTGATGCAATTCTTCATTTAAAAAATTATTTATTTTTGTTCAAAATCATTTTCCACCATCGTTAAGTTTCTAAGATCAGATAATGGGACTGGATTCTTTAAAGACAATTGTTCTTCTCTTTTCTCTTCTTTGGGAATAGTTCACCAAAGTAGTTGTGTCTCCATTCCACAACAAAATGGGGTGGCAGAAATGAAACATAGGCATTTGTTACAAATTACTAAGGCTCTTAAATTTCGTTCTCAAGTCGCTATAAAGTTTTGGGGGAATGTGTTCAAATTGCTTGTTGCATTCTAAATAGGATTCCTTCATCTATTCTTTCAAGGGAAACTTTTTTTCTTTCTGTTCTCCACAATAGAGACCCTGTTTTTCACACCTCAAAGTATTTGGTTGTATGTGCTATGCTACTTGTCGAAATGTGTCAAAAAAAATTTCTCCTAGGGCTGCTCCAATTGTTTTCATAGGGTATTCTACAACACAAAAGTGGTACATTCTTTTAAACCTTTAAACAATTTTTTTTAAGCCCAAGGATGTTATTTTCCATGAGTCCTTATTTCCTTTTAAATTTCCTCAAAATCATGCTTCTAGTTTTTCCCTACTCAGCCTACAATTTCAAATTCTGAGATTTTGCTTTAGACTTCAGTTAATACACCTGCTCAGTATGATTCTAGTATTCTTGATCAATTTGTTTCTAGGGATGTTTCTTCACCTGATTAGTTTGTTCATGATCGGTGTTTACCTACAGATTCCTTTGGTTAGTCTTATCAACAATCTCCATTGAGTTTATCTCCTCTTATTCAGTCTTCAAATCGTGTGTTTTCATATCAGCCTCCACATGTTCAGGTTATTTTTAGAAAGTCTACTAGAATTTTCAAACAGACTCAATGGTTACTAGATTATGTATGTTCTTGCCAATGTCCTGCATCTTCCAGTAAATATCTTATTACTAATCATGTCCCTCATATCGATTTACCTGTTCACACCTAATCTTTTCTTTCTGCTACATCTCACATTGTAGAGCCTAAACCCTTTCTCAAGCCATAACAAATCTTGTATGAATTCAAGCCATGCAAGAAGAGATCTAGGCCTATAGTACCATTGCCTACTGAAAAGGCCCCAATTGGTTGTAAATGGGTTTATAGAGTGAAGTATCAAGCCTCTGGTACTGTGGAGAGGTATAAAGCCCATTTGGTGGCTAAAGGGTATACTAAAAAGAAAGCTATTGATTATAGTGAGACATTTTCTCCATTTGCTAAGCTGGTCACTATTTGAACCTAGTTGGCTCTTGTTGCAATGTTTAGTTGACCTCTATACCAGATGGATGTATATAAATACTTTTTTACAAGGTGATTTGGTAGAAGAAGTTTATATGAAGTTACCTCAAGGATTTAGTAGTCAGGGATAGTTTAGTATGTAGGCTGCAAACATCTATATATGGTCTAAAACAAGCATAAGGCAGTGGAATTTGAAATTGACTGAAGCTTTGCTAGGTGCTAATTTTCAACAAAGTAAATTTGAATATTCAATATTCACTAAGAAGAAAGATGACAACCTTGTGGTAATGTTGATTATTAAATTGAAAGAGATCTTAAATAGAAGCTTCAAGATGAAGGATTTAGGAAGCTTGAAATATTTCCTTGGATTTAAGAAGCTTCTGAGATATAAGGAAGGATTCTTGATAAACCAAAAAAAGTATGCCATGGAACTCATTGAAGATTAAGGGGTGCTAAGCATGCTTTAACACCATTGGAGCAGAATTTGAAGTTTTCTACTGTAGAATTTGATCAAAGAACATAGCAAGAGTCCAATGATTTGGTTTTGGAAGATAAATCATTGTATCAAAGGTTGATAGGAAGATTGTTGTATCTAACTCACACTCGACATGAAATCACATTTGTTGTGCAACATTTGAGTCAGTTTATGCAGCAACCTAAGATCTCACACATGGATGCAACCTTAAGGGCGGTGAGATATATAAAATTAAATCCTAGTTAAGGGTCAATGCTAGGCTCGATCAATCAACCGAAAATCGCCACGAATGTGGTGAATTGACCTTTAAAAATCTTTGGTATGGAAGCAATAAAAGATAAGAATTACACACAAGGTTTATAGTGGTTCGAGTTTCTCAACCAAAATCAACATTGTTGAACTATTTAAAATAACAAAGGTAATACCGATACTCCATATAGGAGTACTGATATCCTCTGTACTGGGCAATTTTATTTTGCAGAGAAAAATATCCCTAACAACTCCAAATCACTCCCAACGACTAGAAACGGTCACAAACTCATTCCAACATATAAATACAAGTTCAAGACAGTTGAAGAAGGGTTAGAACACCTATTCAAGCATTCAAATACAAGAGAAGAGCTTTTCACTCTTTATTTCTATTATCTTGTAAATATTAGTGTTTTATGAGCTTTATTTTGTAAACACACTACCTTTAAGAGGTTTTATTGTTTACTTCTTTTTACCTTTTGTAAAAGGGATTGATTCTAGTTTAGCCAAGTAAAAAATCAGGGAGTTTGTAAAAGTTACTCTTTATCATTGAAAAAAAAGAGAACAAATTAGTGGATTTGTTCTAAAATCCTTCGTGAGGAGCTAAGGTAATGGAGGTAGACTTAGTTGAGAAGCCGAACCAATATAAATCGTTGTGCAAAATTGTCTATCTGTTTTTCTCCTTACTCCCTAAATACATTTTGCCAATTCACCCCTTTGTGCATTTTTCGGTTGTCCAATTTGAGCTTCGAAAATCCTAACATACATACACTACCTTAGCTCCACACTAAGGATTTCAACAAATTCACTAATTTGTTCTTTCTTTTTCAAGGATAAAGAGTAACCTTTACAACTTTAGTTTTTCTGAGGCTTAACTAAAACCTCTTCCCTTTTACAAAGGATGTTTGGTAAACAAGAATACCTCACCAGGTTAGTGTTTACAAAGATTTAAGCTCACAAGAATAAAAACAAAAAATATGCAATTAAGCTCTATACACTTATGTACAAGAGAAAAATGAAGGAAATAAGAATGAAAACTCTTTTCTCTTGATAAAGACGACACATTTCATCTTTAAAAAGATATGCAAATAAGAATGAAAACAACAAAGGGACACATATCAGTAGTTATAACTTTTTGTAAGTATTAGAGTCATGGTTACTCTACACAAGAACCTCCTCCTAACTGGGTGCAATAGAGGTGGCAAGGATTGTGTTTGCATCACGAACTCTAAAGGTGGCATGAACTTTTGATTCGTCCCAACTCGGGCGTCTTGGAAGCTAAAACAAAGATGCCTTGAAGTGTTGAATAGGGAGGGAGACATTGAAACCTGTTAAATTCACGGTTTGAGAGCATCCCCATTCATCATATAGTAAGTTGAGATTGTTGTCCATACCTATCCGCTAGTAGAATACACCGTTGAAAGCTTTAATCATCTTTATATATACATTTCCATGCATATGAGTTGTTATTTTCGATAGGCTCATTTAGAAGATCGCCAGTTGTAACCCCCTAGACCTGACCTAGACGTTACGACTGAACCTAGACAGTCACATGTCGTTTACATAATTTCCTTTTTATAATTAAAATGTACTTGAAATCTATTTCAGTAGAAAAGAACCCATATAGATGTAATAACCTTATTCAAGTGTCCCTTTGTTGTTTTTATCAGTTGAAATGTGTTTCTAACCGTTTGTTAAGAGTTATAATTGCTTAAAGCTTTAAAAACATGCAATTAAAGCCACCCGCACAAGAAGTTTCGAAACCTTTGGAAAAGTTTGGAAACTCTTAAACTCAATGTAATTGAAAGTTTCGAAACTTTTACTTAAAAATATGATCGTTGAAGAAAATTGGACCGTTGAAACTATTTCAAGGGAAAAGTTCAAAACTTTATCAAAAGTTTCGAAACTCACTATTCATGAACAATACCCGTGTATGAACAATGTCATGAACAATGCCAAATAGTGACTGAATCGTATTTTTCATATTCTAAAAGCTTTAAACAAGAAAATCAGGCCGTCAAAACTGTTTCAGGGGGCAACGTTTCGAAACTCTCTATTCATGAGTAATACCCGTGTATGAACAATGTCATGAACAATGCAAAATAGAGACTGAATAGTGTTTTTCATATTCTAAAAAGATTTAAACACATTTTAAACACTTTAAACATATTTTAATTAACTCAAAAAACATTTCATTTATATAAAAACAATTCAGAACACATATTTTTCAAGTTATTTTAGACTTTAAATTATTTTTGAAATATTTGATTAAGTCTAAAATCAATTTTACAAATATTTGTTATATCAAAATATAAATTCAGCCGTTAATGTTTGAGGCAGGGCAAGAAGCAAGCATGTTGATATTTTTTAACTCTGATTGGGCATCTTGCGTTACGTCAAGAAGATCAGTCACAGGATTTTGTATAAAACTAGGAAGGACTTCGATATCCTGAGAGTCAAAGAAACAGAGTACTATAGCTGGGTCATCAGCAGAGGCAAAATATAAGAGTATGGCTATCACAGTGGCAGAGATTGCATGGTTAACTGGACTGTCGAAAGAATTGGGAAAGAAGAGCATAGCACTGGTAATTAGTTTTATAAATAGATATCGACTTATAGGATTTTAGAATAAATGCAACATTTGAATTCTCTTGCGCTGGTAATAAGAATGTCAATATCTTATTTATGATTATTTTGTTTATTCGGTCATTATTATCTCATTCATTAATAAAGTAATTTTGACTCAATACCGTAGGCGGGCTAATTATTTAATCCAACACGACACCATAATTTTTTTTTTATTTTGGGAACTACAAAATTTACTGCAGTGACTTGGAACTCGTCATGTGAGTATGACGAGTTCTAATAAAATATATTTTTTTATTGAAATTTATCACTGCGACGTGATAAAAATCTAATAAAAATTATATTTTATTAGAACTGGTCACTTTGACATAATAAATTTGAATAAAAAATATTATTTGAGTAAACTCGTTATGTGATTGTGATGAGTTTACTCTATAGTGTAGCATTTATCATAGATCTCAAATTAATTTTGGAAATGACCTAATGAGATAATTTATTTTACCCGGATAACTTATTGGGCCAATTTTACCTGTGATTTCAAGGTCTCGAAGCCCATAATCTCCGCCACCTCCTAGTTCTTCTAGTCTACCATCTTCATCTACAAGTTTCCTTTCATCTTCAAGTTTCCTTTCATCTTCATCCTCCAACTCAAACGTGCCATTGACAAAAGGAACAACTTCAGAAACTCGGATCAAAAACATCATTCTTTCTGGTCTGGATGATTGATTATAACAGTCGTTGGAGTTATAAATCAATATAAACAGATAAAAAACTGATATATTTATAACTTAGCTTCAAGCAATATCATCATAGCATGCATGCCTCATTTTCATATGAATATATTATATCTTATGATTCCTTATTTTACATGAAAAAAAATTCTTTACCCAATATTTTATTACTACTAAACTAATTAACTTCAATCCTCTCGTGTTCGAGCTTTCTTGGCCTTGCGGTGTAAATCATCAACAATTGAGGCAGGAAACCAGGAGTCCACCACTCGTGAAAGATCGAGTTGCAGATTCCCGCCGCATGTGCTTGAAGTTGCAGCAGTGCTACTACTACTACTTTCCGATGCTCCTCTTTTATTGGCCTTTGGTTTTCTCGGTGCAGGTGGGCATTGTTTCATCTCCGGGATTTTGTGATCCAAAGACGTGGGAGTCCTGAATCCGTCATCGTCCTCGTCGTCAACCATTGCCTTGAATTCTCCTAAACATACATTTTTGTTTTCACTTTCCATGGAAGCTGCTGCTTTTACGTTGCTTTCTTCCTTTTTCTCTTCATCATCATCATTCGATGAATTATAAATGCACTCCTCTTGAAACTCCAATGGCGGTCGTTTCAGGATATCGAACTCGATCCCTTTCGTTTCGTCTTTAACAAGGATCAGCTCTGAATTCGACATGCTAAGAAGGGAGACCTGGCCGAATTCTGAGTACATTAAATGATGAACAAGTAAATAATATTGAGAAGAGGGGATCGAGGAGCTGCTAAAAGACAACAAAAGAAAATAGAAGAAGAAGCTAGCTGGTAAGGGAAAAATGGCTTGACATTGAGATCTTAAAACAAAGAATAATGGAAACATAAATCATCACAAATCACGGTTTTTTGTTTTCATGGAATTCCCTATTATTTTACACTTCCTTTTATGATGGTTCATATACGAACTTTGATGTACATCTATGCACGTGGGTGGGTTGCTATACAATGGGGACCAAAGGTTCGTTTTTGATATGATAATCAAACCCCCTCTCATGATATTATTAAGTAAACTTACCTTAGATGCGAACCCATCAAGTGACCTTAATTGTTAATAAGAGTATTGTTCTCTTTAAAGATCTTAGGTTCGAACAGTTACGTCTTTAGAAGAAGTACTCTAACAAATATGAATATATATTAAGGGTTTTGAAAACAAATCAATCCATTAAGGGAAATGGAATATCTTCTTGTTTATTGATCCAGCTAACTCTAGGCAGTTATTACTTATTTTTGCTAAAAGGTGAAGAAACTTTTGCTTTCATCTAATATTTGCCCCATCAATGCTATCCATATAGCCTTTTTCATTTTCTTGTTGCTTAGCCAGAAAGATCAAAAATCAAAATGAATGGCTCCACAAAGTTTAAATGCAAAATCAATGTACTTCAATGATCAAAACTGGACTAGGAAGAGTAGTTGGAACTTAATTTCGTTGGTTTGAGTATTTTTTACCTTTAAAAGAACAATTTCAATAGGTCTATGTTTCAAATATCAGTACTTGTGTTTATCAATGGCAGTGATCATAGATTTGTGGTTTTCGTAATTTTGTTGATCAGTAATGTTGGGTTCCTCCCCATGAAAAAATGGAAGGAGTTGAGATTTGTTGATCCTTTCATTATTTCATGATTCATACTCACTCAACTAACAACTATCAACAGCCCCCATCATCTCTTATTATCAATTTAATGTGAACAGTAACAGATCCACAATGAACGCTTGAACACTCCTTCAAACATTGTGCTCGAACCTGAGACGTATATATATGTGTGCTTTTTAATCCCTTTTGCTCTTATGGTGTTTATATATATGTGTGTGTGCTCTCACCCTAAAAAAGATATTTCAAGCTCCGCCACATAACATCAATATATCGTAGTTTTAAACCTAAAACTATGCCAGTAATATTGCAGATAAAGGGTTTTGCATCTTAAGTGAATTTGGATTGGAGAATGTAACTTTTTAGGGTTTAGTGATTCAAGAACATGTTTAAAAGTAAACTAAAGCAAGTTTAATAATGAAGGGGAAGAAACTGTTGAAACATGCGCCATCTGATCTGATGTTGCAGAATAATTTTAATGTCCAAGGCACATGGAGAAAGGTTTTTGCCACCATTGCCAACCATCATGCATGTCCCATTCCCTCACAATCATCTCTCCTAAATTTTCAACTCTCCCCTACAGCTTTTCTTTACATTTTTCCAATCCAACCCCACATATCTCCATTTTTTCAAGTTTGGGTTTTTCACTTTGTTAAAAAAGGCTGTCATTGGCACACTCTAGACCCAAACTAGCCTGTATTCTTGGACCACACCTGTAACAAATCAGACTGGTTCCTTTGAGGGGTTTTGCATGTGAATGCTTTATTTTATTGATGCTTTATGCGTGTGTGTTTTTGGGGGGAAAAGGTAGGAGAAAAAGCTTGGCGTTTGTGGGGGTGAAAGAGATTAGATCAAAGGAAAAAGGTGATGTCAAAGTGTCTAGTACACACTCCTAGGGGAAGCAATCAAGCAAAGCTTTCTTCAAGATGGTTTAGAGCTGGGGTTTAAATAGCGGTCTACTATTGGAATAACGGTTGTTATATAACAATAAAAGTATCGTCTAAAACCATTATTGCTTTATTGTAATACCAGAAATGATTACAATAGCACCTGCTATTGGCTAACTTCATTGTTTCCAAGAGAGTTCCTAAAAGCAAACGTTGCTACCAATTCATCATAATTACCCAATTCCAAGTTCCCAATACTAGTAGGCTGTTCAGTTTAATGATTATAAAATTATCTGAAAGTAGTTCCAAAACCATCATTGCTAGCAAAAAAACCTGCAGTCTGCCAGTGTGAACTTTGGATCTAAATGATGCATGGGATGGGGGCACTCATCACAGTCACATCCCATGGAGACAGTGAAAATGGGAAGATAAAAAGAGCCTAGGGTACCCTAAAGAATACAGTATTTACTAGTTTATTATCACATACCAAACACCCTGGTAGTATGTTCTTGGAAGGATGCCGACCTAGCACTGTAAACTGTAAGTTCTTTGATGAAAATAGTATGAAAGCTGTCACGTTCTTCGTCTAATAAAACAAAGACAAGTTTTGAAGTTAAAGAATTTCGTACAGAATATTTGTAAGTGTACTTCAATCAACAATTTGGAGGACAGAAATAAGACTAATTTGCAGAATCTGGCTTGGTTTTTAGCAAGTTTGCTTATATCACAGGCTTGGCAGCTTGCATTACCAACTAACCCTTAAAGTTCAGTCCTCATCACCTGATACATAGAAGTATGTATGTATGTATGTATGTAATCTGATGGCGATCTGGGTCCAGATATTGTGCTGGACTGGTGCCTTGGCCAAATTGGCAGATGGGTCTTGTTGTACCAGACCCTTTTTTTTTCTTGCTTTGAGTACACAAAGTGATGACGTCCACCAAGTTGTGTCTGTTTCTAGTGAGTTGGGCATTGGAAATGTCAGAATTCCAACACAATGTAACCTTTAATCATCATGATCCTATACTTCTAAGAAGATTTTGACCACTTTTTTTGTGTGTGGTTGCATCAAATTCAATCACGTCCTCGTCTAAAAAGCAGAAAGCACATAGTGGTGGGGGGTTCTTTCCCTCATGCTTCAATTTCCATGGTGGATCTACTCGGAAAAGAAGCATGGGTTGACTTTGAGAGTTGATCATGGTGAATTATAGAGCTGAAATAGATCATTCCATCGGACGATCGAAACGGAAATGATTCGACTCGAAGACATGAAACAAATCGACATTGGAATGAGTTTCTCTTAACATTGTAATAAGATCAGTTTGATATTTTGGAAGCTGTTCGAGTCTTGTCCCAGGGTTTTTGTATAAAACAAGAACTTGATAGGATTTTAGGACAAGAACCAGTCTAGATTTAAGCTACGTTTCTTGCATTTTTCTCATCCAATTTCCTCGCCTTATTTTTCTAATCATGCATATAATATAGGATTCGTTCAGTTCACTTTCATCCACTTCCTTGCTTTTATAATCCAAGCATTACATATTATTAAAATTCTATATTATAATTTTTTTGGGTTAACTACATGATTGATCACTTATATTTATATTTTGTCAATTTTTTCTCACTGGTTTCAAAAAACATAATATATGGTTACTTTCGTTTTTATTTAATTAAGATATGATCACTTTTATTTTATTTAATTAAGATGTGGCCACTACAGGTTAAATCCTATTTTTATTTACACATGATTGATCACTT